TATAGTTTTGGTGAGAAAACCTAGAATTTGGGAATTTTTTTAAAAGAGATTGAAAATCCCTGAATGATATTGTTATATTTATTTTGTGTGTCAAAATAAATAGATGTTTGGAAAATTTCTTATTTATATTTATATAAATGATGAATTTCAGGGAATATGAGAATTGTTGTTCGTTTTGGAAATTATTGTTCAAAACGTTGAAATAGTCTTGATCTAACTGCATTTGTACTTCAAATTCAAAACTGAATATGTGATAGTTGATCGCATTTCACATGCCATGTTTAGGATTAGCCGAGCCTGTCTAGATTGCATTTTTGCATGCGATACATTAGCCATTCTTAACATGAACTAGGACATGCATGTTTGCTAACTAGTTTATTGTTTTGGCACGGAGTACGATGTAAGTATTTATGCTTTAGCATCTCGCATGCGTGTGAATGCTATCATGACAATATGCTTACCATGTGGCTAGATGCTTATGTGATAAACTGTTTGAATGCCTGTGGGTGAAGGTTGGATTGTTTGAGTTGGAAAAACTCATTGAAATCCGTATTTTAGCCTACTTGCGAGCAGCAAATTCCAAAACATTTTTCCAAAACAAACGGATATGCAATGCTTATTTCCAAATTAGGCAATCTAGTCTATACTTGTTTGCTGTGCGCATAACATAGTAATTCTAGGCTAACAATTGGAATAGGAACACATGATGTTTTCAAAAACGGATATCACGGTTAGTAGAGGCTGATCTTCGGATCGGGCGAGAGGGGGTGCTCATAGCTGACCTTCCCCAATCGTACCCTAGCTCCCGAGCCGAGACAACTCCGGTGATGACGGACATGTGGCCTTCGGCACCGAGTCAGGGTTTCCTAAATTCCCCCATAAAAAATATTTAGGTGGCGATTCTGTATCTGGCAAAGCAGTCCATGTTTGGCACTTCTTTCCTAAAATCTGTTTTCTCAAAACGATTTGCCAGATTTGGACTCTTTGGTTCAGATTAAGAACCGCAAACAAAAATCGAGTCCGAACCGTAGCGGGGCCCCTCGCGGGCGCGTCTACACCTAGGTTTATCCAAAAATTCTCAAATCACAATATTATTTAGAAAATCAAATAACCATGTTTAAAACCATACGAAAGTGTGGAGAAATCCCTTCCTCAAAGCTAGAAGGCGAGAGAGAGAATGGAGAAAACCTTGATGAAGCCGAAAACCAATTTTGCTTCGATCAAAAGAAAACTCTAGGCAAGCGCTACCGTTTTTCCGAAAGGACAATGGTTGAGAGATCAATGGATGACAGTGTATTTGAGGTTTAAAGATGGTTTCTAGAGAGAGAAGAAGAAAATATACGATTTTAGAATGTTTAGAGAAAGAGAGAGAGATGAGAAAATGACTCAAAAAGTGACTTTTACGAACTGATATACACGTAGACTGCTCGAGTGACCAAAACACCGCTCGAGCGACCAGACACAACAAGTGAGACCGCTCGAGCGAAGAACACCATCATCCCAGTACTTTTACATGCTTGCAAAAGTATTGAGAGTTCCCAAAGATTGCTCGAGCGCAAGAAGGACCACTCGAGCCAAGACCGCTTGAGTGCAAGAAACATAGCTTGAGCAAAAAAAAAAACACCCTCCCAATATATTTGTAGACTTGCAAATATACTGGAAGTTCTCAAAGATCGGTTAAGCGACCAAATGACCACTCGCGCAAACTAACCAAAATCTGGGAAATAGTTCTATTGAAAAACAAACTCCCGACCTATTCCAAACGCAATAAAGACATCCAAACAACAAAACTAATCTAGAATAAGATGAATCAGGATATGAACAACCAAACAACATAAGGAATCCCAGATCCAAAACAATAAACGGGTCGAGTCTAAACCAGAATTGTTATATTATGTTGAGTTCTGTTGAAATATTGGGAATTTCTCCTTTAAATGTGTTTTTGAAAGGAATAGATGATTTGTTAGAAAACATTGGTTTTGACCTTAAGAAGAAAGGAAAAGATGTTGAGTTTTTTAGAAGATAAAATGGATGTATCTATTAAAGATGAGAGTGGAGTTGCATATGTATTATCATTCCCATATTGAGATTATGAAAGTGTAACTGTTGTTGGGGATTTATCTTTTGTGTAGAGATATATATTTTGGGTTATCGGTGAAGCATAACTTTGATTGCTGTAGAAATTGCATGAGGATTAGGTTAATTAAAACCAAATACTCATATATCTTGCAGTGAACATTATTCCATAGTCTTGCAATGAAATTGTATCTCTTTGAGAAAAAAGGTTGAATACCTTGGTGAATATAGTTAAGGGGTGTGGTTGTGGTATTATCTATGTTGGCATGTGTGTCCTTAATGAATGTACAAAAACCTGTGTGGTTAGGTGCCAATTCTCCATGTTAGTACCGGTAAAATGGATTTGGCAGTACTTGTATAGCCAACTGGAAGACACATACCTAGAGATTTCCGATGTTGTGTATCCACTGCCCTATTTTATGTTCTAAAAAGTATTGTTTTATGAATTGATTTATAATCATGACATCGCATTATTTTGAAAGAGAAAGTTTGACGATTTGGTAAATGGCATGCATATGCATTCATCATATGACTATGTGAAGCATCATACAGTGTTTTCAAGTATTCTCTACTAGACTTTTGTTCACCCTATGTGGAACCAACTTTCAGGTGCTGATGGTATGCCTCCGCCAAGGACTTAACTTGGGAGGATAGTGGAGCTGAAGGCTCATTTTGCTTTTCTTTTGTTGTAAATATCTGTTATACAAGCCTTAAGCTTTTAATTTGTTTTGGGCTTGACCTATTTTAATTGTAACCAAGCATCAACTTGGAAATATGTAGCCACTAAGGCATGAACCTATGTGTATTTCTTTTCGTTTCCCTGCATTGATATAAGTCACATGCTATGGATTCACAATCTAGGATTTATGAATGTATAATTGTATGTGACATCTTTTGTAATATTTTCAAGAGAGTTAATGAAAGAACGAAACATTATTGGTTTTCTGCACATTTAGCTTACTTTGTGGAATTATCTATTGTTGATTATTTTTGGGGCGTTACAACTTAACTCGACTCGACTTGATTATATATAGTTTAAGTTTGATTCAAATCATCTGAAAAAAGTAAATAAGCAAAACTTGAATGCATTTTATTCATAATTTTTGTTTTATTGTTGTCAATCAGTATGAGATTATGTATCGCATCTCCAATGGACTCTTTAAATGAGGCATGTTAGCTATTAAAGTTAGCATTATCATATTTTAGTCCTTTCAACAGGCTAACTATTACAATAATGATTTTAACAAAATTCGTCAAAGTTAGCGACATTTGAAGAGCCTTAGAAGGCTCTTTAAACAATTTGTGTGTATAGATAGGTTGAAATAAATAGTAGCGTTGGAGTACATAAATGACAAAAGAAATTAGACAAAATAAAAAAATCATCTTTTTTATAGTTTAACTAGTAAAATTGAAGAGTATAGTTAAAGTTTCTCTTACAAATATTCTAAGGATTATATAAATTAGACAACTAATTACAATTAAAAAAAAAAGGTATTTATTTAAGAAGAAATCACTTATTATTTAGTCAAAGCAAACATACTTTTTATATTTAACTCTTTTTTAGCCAAATAGATTGCTTGAAGATTGCCAAACTAAGGACTTTCAGAATATATATATATATATATATTTAGGAAAAAATATAAAATGCATATATTAAATTCATTTTTATTTAAATTCACACCACACTAAATTTAAAGCTGAGTATTTTTTCCAAGCACATATCACCACTGTAAAAATAAATAAATAAATAAAAAATGTGAAGATTCTAGTACTTTTCTTGGACTCTCTTCAGTTGGTTTTGCATTGAAGCCAATTTGAGAAGACATCAATGGTATCTATGTCAACTCTGTAATGCTTCTGAGTGAATTCAAGAAGAGTTGGCCAAGTGAAGTCTGGATATATCCTTGGATTATGACTGCTGACCAATCCATTAGGTGGGCTCACCACTTTGTCCATGTTTGGAGACAAAAAGAAGGTCAGAGACTTCCTTGGAACTTGTTTGTTTACCACTGCTCTATGCAAGCAACTCTTGTAAATTCCATTTGATAGAGCCTGAAACACTTTCAAACTTTTATGCATTAAAATTCAAGCTTATGCTAATAAACTTCATTAGAAAAAGTTTAATAGATTCTCATATATTTTGAGTTTTTCACATGATTGAACACATGGTCCACTGTTTCTAAATTCAAGTTTATCCTCAGCTCTTTGAAACCATCACTAACATTGGACACAAGGTCTTCTATCCCTAAATTTTAATGTTCGTCTCTCAATACATCCTCAATTATTGAATTATATTTTGAGATTCTCATATGATTCAATAGTTAAGGAAAGTACATTGACACATAAAGACAAATGGATTAGATGACAAAGAATCCATAGCCATGTCAATCATTCAACAACGTTATAAAGTTAGAAAAATGGTCGCTAAAGTCATCTTTGGCGATGAAAAAATACCTTGGTTGCCAAATATGTTTTGTTTTTCCTTGTAGCGATATTATAAAATACAATTTGTAAGAAAAACAAAATCATACAGAATGATACGGCATTTTGCAATCCTTTCATTTGAAGAGAAAACACCCATCATTGTAGCCAGATTTACAAAAATATTATTGCCACATCATTCTGTATAGATTGTATTATGAATACAAATTCTATTCAAAAATAGTTTTTTATGTATAAAAAAAATTACCAAATAATTAGATGTCATATAATTAAATGTCATTTTAATGGTGTCACATAACTCTGTATCTAAATTCTACATATTTGTGTGTTCGTTTATTACTACAATTTTTGAAGACTAGATCATTGTTTCTAAATATTGGTGTCCCCCATCCCAAAACATCTATAACTATTAGACATGTTTCGATATTTTTGAACCCTCACATGATCCAATGACTATAAATGTTTTGGATGAGAGAAACAAGGATGACAATAGGCACGACGGGAGAGAAAACTTCGTCCCTGCTTTGCTTTCTCATTGAGGACGAGAAAATTGTCATCCTAAATTTAGAACAAGAGGAAACTTAGCCCTTTTTTGGTTACTTTTCAGACTATTTTTCTACTCATAACCTTTTCCTTATTCAACATTTGTTTATGTACTTACCATGAATGTGTCTCCAATGTTGACAACAAAAGCTTGTGAATTGGGAAGAATGGAGTGCCATTGTTGATCAACAAACACTTGAAGCCCACCAACATTGTCTTGATGAAGGATAGTGAGCAAGTTTGGATCACGGTGAGGACCAGTTCCAAGAGTATCATGAGCTCTAAGACAAGGGGGGTAGTTGTTTAATCTCATTATTGACTCATTTCCTTCAAAGAATTCTCTTAAATAGGTTGGGCCCACTCCTAGGCTCATCCCCAATAGCTCCATGATCCTAAGTGAAAGAATGTTCATTGCTTCACTATAATCTTGGTATATCCTTCTAAGAAAACACAAAAAGCAACAAAAACAAAAA